ACTGTGTGGAACTTTCTCTGATTCGTTTCTGTGGTTGACCAGTGGACATATTGCAGACAGTTTTAACTTTGACACACACAATGACCTGAATACAGGCGAGAGCAGGTAATCAGTTGTTTGAGTTAGCTTTAGTTGTGGTCACTGCAGTGTTGTATAGCTCAGTATTTACCTGTCACGGATGAGTAATCACTACTGATAATCTTCAGAAAAATTAATTTGTCCAAATTCAGCAAAGTTTGTATTTTAGATTAGAATTTTTTTTTATATCATTTATCTAGCTTCTTAACTTTATCTGTACAAATTTTTACAGCTCACACTCATTTACAATTTGTATAAATGCTAAAACATTGTAGACAGTCTTCCAGGTGTGACTTGTCAGGCAGCCATCACATGTCTTAAATTTGGATAGCATATGATACTGATCTAAAATAACAATTAACATCTCCAGTAATACTTTTAATTTGTGATGGTCGATTGATTGGACATCTATTCACATTACTAGAATTATTGTCAACTCTATTTACTATATTAAGTTGTGTACATATTCTGCTTGTTTCAACATGAGATATAAATACATCATCATCTATTTCATTTATGGGTTTTTCATTGAAAATTTCATTACTATTGTCATCAATTAATACCTCATCATGTTCATGTAAAGATCATTAAAGATATTTATACCTGTTACTTCAAACTGTGTATTCATACCGATTTCCATTGATTCAGCTAAATTACAGCAGTGTGTATAAACATCTACAATATCTTTCAATTCAATCAGTACTGATGATCCATCTGGAGTTAAGAGACCCACTGAATTTCTGGAATTGCTATCAAATATATAATACATTTCATTTCTTTTCATGATTACAAATGCATTGCCGCCAAAAGTTATAAAGCATGACTCATATTGTAAAAGACATGTCTGCAGAGCTTCATACAATGTCATAGATAATTCATTGTTTTCAAAAGTACAGTCTCCAGTAAGCACCAGTCCTACTACAGAATCCAGCTGAATATCTATATTAAAGAGTTTTTAAAAAACAATAAGGTTTCTTGGCAATTCAGATATCAAAATATACCGGTTATCCATTGATGAAGAAGATTGCAAAAAACTGTATAATTCATTACCAGCTATTAAAATCTTATCCAAGTCATTTGTATTCCATGAACAGGTCTAATTGCAGAAAAAAAAAAAGCAACTAAAGAATTTCCAGGACATTGTGTGCCACTAAATATACCAAATCTTACCTGATAAAAACTACCATAAACATATTTATAATTATTTACCTTGGACTTAGATATTTCCTTCCTACATGAAGGGGGGGGGGGGGGTTGGATGGCCGAATGGTTAGCACGCGCGCGCTGTATAATACGGTCTGTCATTGAGTCAACTGGCGGGGTTTCAATTCCCCGGTTGTACGTCGCCTGTCCAACCTCGTGGGTTTTCTAAGATTTTGTGCTTAGGTTAGAGTGATTAATAATTTGATTTCTAGATGCTGTATAAACATAAATATGTAATTAAGGAATCCACTTCTTTGGGTTTGAGGCAGATGACAGCAGTCTCACCATCGGCTTGTTTACATTTTATAGCTATAATTTATAATCATAATAAAGTTGCTATACATTAGATACAAGTAATATTTCTTCTTCAACTGTAATCTCAATCTCATTCCTATAAAAAAAACATTAGAAAGTTTCTATGAGAATTATACTTGTGTTAGCTGCTTTTGATTATATTCTATATATTGTCTGCAGTGTATGGCGAATATTGAAATTTAGTTCCTCCTATCTTTGTAAACATTGTAAGGAATTGACTATATTTCTTTTAGAGATAAGACTTTCACTCTAATGTAATACGCACACAGACTACAAATATTTATAATATGTATATTTTGTATATTTTCAGATCTGAGGCTTTAGACTGGTTAAACTCTGGTTTATTGGTTAGTGGTAGTAACTTGACAGACAGTATAACAGATTGGCTAACTGTTCTAATTTACTTAGCTTGTATATCAGCTTTGCAAACTGATATACGTTGAAACACTCTGCTTGGCAACACTGTCTTATATACGAATCTGCTATTCAATAGGATTGTGACGTTCTATTGTCTTAGGAAAAGGTCATTTTTTGAAGAACAATATTAAACCAAATAACATGAAAACTATAAGAAAAAAAGAAAAGAAAAGAAATAAAAAAAAAAAAAAAAGAAATAAATATTTTAGTCAGAAGGTTGTAGAATCCCTTTTTCAATAAGTCTAATTAAAGGGAAATAACTCCAGTTTTCACTGAGTGAAATTTTAATTATGCGTCAAAGACAAAGAAGTCTGTAACTGCCGTAGATTCATATATGTATTAGATTAGAAATGGTGAGCCGAATGTCCGTATTTGAGAGACTTGGTATGCAAGTCTATGTGTTTGCTGAAAGTTGGAGTATTCATTGTTTAATTTAGAATTAATTACCGTTCTACTTTATATCTAATTAATATTACTTTGTTACATATATATACCTTTAGGTTAATTTCTAATAGGTTATCATATTTCATTAAGTATGAATTAGGTCATTTATTACTAATTTAGGCTGATTTGGTAAGCTCTAGCATATCAAGGATTACTCCAGCGCACAACGTTTTTCCCGGGCAAAAATGGAGGAGCCATAGAATTTTTGTGCGTGATAAAGTTAGAGTTTTCACGGTGACATTATTAAATATGACTGTTTTAACTAGTTTGCATTGATCTAGTTTGCACGTGGTAAACTTTCTGGGCCTGATGATGCTGTATACAGAGCTATGGGGCGCTATTGCACTTTCGTACCTCTACCAGTTCCCGTGGTCATAGGCACTTGAAATTTTCAGAGGATGTTAAGGGGGGCTAGCAATGACCACACACCAAATTTCAGCCAAATCGATAAATAACTTTTTATTTTACCGACCTTTTAATTTCTAACGAGAGAGAACTTCATCCGTTTGACGCCATTTGCTTTGTTTACTAATTAGACTTGAATAACAAGACACTAAGACGGAAACCGACTCGAATAACAAGACACTTAGACGGAAACCGACACACTGCACTAGCTGCCTAACACTGCAGTTCATAAAAATTAATATAATTTTCGTATACTTTAATTTTTGCGCGAAGCTACCATTTTCTATAAAATACTATTTGGTGTTGATCAGTGGATTGGCCTTTAGGTGTAAATATTGCCGTGACCTTGATTTTGACCTTGAGGCCAAACTTCCCATCCATATCGGGGCCTTTGCGTTTATGCTTGCCGTGGCCTTATTTTTTACTGTATTATCAAAGTAAATGTTCGAGGTGAAAGCAGAGATGACGTCCTTCAGAAAAGATAATTGGGTCAAAGTCGTAGGTCAAGGTCATGTTACAGAAAACTAAACTCAAACTTTTCAAAGACGGAAACCGACTCGAATAACAAGACACTTAGACGGAAACCGACACACTGCACTAGCTGCCTAACACTGCAGTTCATAAAAATTAATATAATTTTCGTATACTTTAATTTTTGCGCGAAGCTACCATTTTCTATAAAATACTATTTGGTGTTGATCAGTGGATTGGCCTTTAGGTGTAAATATTGCCGTGACCTTGATTTTGACCTTGAGGCCAAACTTCCCATCCATATCGGGGCCTTTGCGTTTATGCTTGCCGTGGCCTTATTTTTTACTGTATTATCAAAGTAAATGTTCGAGGTGAAAGCAGAGATGACGTCCTTCAGAAAAGATAATTGGGTCAAAGTCGTAGGTCAAGGTCATGTTACAGAAAACTAAACTCAAACTTTTCAAAGTCATTTTTGGGACATTTGACCTTGACTTACGACCTTGACCCCGTAACCATTTTCGAAGGCTATCACATTGGCTTGAATCATGAACGTTTAACTTGGTCCTGTCGCACACTGCTCGGTCAGAAAACGGTCAAACGCAGAGGGTCCGTGTCCGAAAGGAAGTCAATGGGCGTGGTCAATGTGAAAGGTCGTGGTGACCTCCACTAGTCACCGTTAACCATCCGTAACCTTGACTCTGACCTTGAGTCCAAATGTCCCATCCATCTCGGGCCCTTTGCGTTTATGCTTGCCGTGGCCTTATTTCTAACTGTATTATCAAAGTTAATGTTCGAGGTGAAAGCAGAGACGACGTCCTCCAGAAAAGATAATTGGGTCAAAGTCGTAGGTCAAGGTCATCTTACAGAAAACTAAACTCGGACTTTTCAAAGTCAGTTTTGGGACATTTGACCTTGACTTACGACCTTGACCTCGTAACCATTTTCGAAAGCTTTCACCTTGGCTTGAACCATCGACGTTTACTTTGGTCCTGTCGCACACTGTTCGGTCTGAAAAGGGTCAAACGCAAAGGGCCCGTGTCCGAAAGGAAGTCAATGGGCATGGTCAATGTGAAAGGTCGTGGTGACCTCCACTAGTCACCTTTAATCATCCGTGACCTTGACTTTGACCTTGAGTCCAAACTTCCCATCCATCTCGGGCCCTTTTCGTTTTTGCTTGCCGTGACCCTATTTCTTACTGTATTATCAAAGTTAATGCTTGAGGTGAAAGCAGAGACAACGTCCTTCAGAAAAGTTAAAAAGGTCAAAGTCGTAGGTCCAGGTCATGTTACAGAAAACTAAACTCAAACTTTTCAAAGTCAGTTTTGGGACATTTGACCTTGACTTACAACCTTGACCCCCTAACCAATTTCGAAGGCTATCAACTTGGCTTGAATCATGGGCGTTTACCTTGGTCCTGTCGCACACTGCTCGGTCAGAAAACGGTCAAACGCAGAGGGGCCCGTGCCCGAAAGGAAGTCAATGGGCGTGGCCAATGTGAAAGTTCGTGGTGACCTCCACTAGTCACCTTTAACCATCCGTGACCTCGACTTCGACCTTGAGTCCAAACTTCCCATCCATCTCGGGCCCTTTTCGTTTATGCTTGCCGTGACCCTATTTCTTACTGTATTATCAAAGTTAATGCTTGGGGTGAAAGCAGAGACAACGTCCTTCAGAAAAGATAAATGGGTCAAAGTCGTAGGTCAAGGTCATGTTACAGAAAACTGAACTCAAACTTTTCAAGTTCCTACGACCACGGGAACTGGTAGAGGTACGAAAGTGCAATAGCGCCGAGCTATGGTTGCCACTTAGCATTTAGTGTTTATGCCGGCCGACTAACGGTTCAAGATATTTCTTCGGTCCGGTGACGTCAATATGTTTCTGTCCATTTCCATTCGTTTATTGGTCACGTGACCATTTTTGGAGAGTTCGGATCGTCCAACCTCTCCAATTTTTCGACCGGTGCGATTGCGGAGAGTGACGTAACAAGATGGCGGCAAGGTAAGAAATTTCCTTCCAAATTTTACAAATATTTTACAAATATGAATCAGTTTCGTTGTTTTCTGACGATAATCTCACCCTACAGTCGCCTCAATCGCTTCGTAATCTTATTTGTCGATAGAATTTTGCCTCGCCTCACGTCAAATCGCTGCATTTCAGAAGCAAACATGTAATCGACTGTATGACATGTGAATCAACTTCAATTCGATTAGAGTTTCAATAGGCCTAATAACAACAACGTCCAATAAATCGGATCATCGCCTCTAGAGGCCTGAATGAGAGATTTTATAATAACATCGTCGGCCACTTTCCTCAATTAATTAGCTACATCAGATTTAATATTGTTAATAACTGTTGTTTTTTTTATAAATATTTTAGCAACATGTGTGATAGTGCTCCAGGCATTGCTTTAAAAACAGTGCATCTAAAAATTGGGGAACAGTTGGTAAAATTTGAAGTTGGCCTAGATGTTTTTGATGCTGTGGTTCTTCGTAAAGGTATGTTGGTTCAAAATTTTAATTTAAAAAAGCCTAAGAAATACTTCTTTCATATATGGCCTACTCATATAAACATATTCTGTGTTGTTGTTTTTGACCAATCATTCAGAAAAATAGACTTTTGAGTAACAAATAATTGAATAGGAAACCAATATTGGATTAGATTTCATATTGCCTAAAAATAGTTCTCCTCCTCTTGACAGCTGATTATCAAATGAATGATTTATCTTGATTGTTTTACAGATGAAAATGTTATTAGACAGCTGGTAATTAATTACAACCAATTTGCAAAGACAAATGGAGGGAATAATAATGCAGGTAAATGCAGTTTATAAATTTCTAGTTGATGCTTTGTGACTCCATCATCATGAATGGCCACTATTTAAAAGCTGGAGTCATAAAGGTAGTATTGGATGTCTGAAAATGTGGTAATGACTATTTAAGCCTTTATCAATATAGAGTAGTAGTATAGTATATATTTAATAACATTGTAAAATATGTCTCATAATTATTGACTAAGATCAAATAGCCTATATGTATACTAATGAGTGTCATATATTATTTTCTTTCAGAAGCTCTTTTGGGTACATCAGCTTGCTCTTCTGAGACTGTTGCATGTAATTCTAAGACACCGGTACTTGATGCTAATACCCCAGTACTGTCTAAAACCAGCTGTGCTTCTACTGCATCTGAAACCATACCTAGTTCGCGGTCAGCAGTAGTTGGAAGTGGTAACTCTGATGGTGAAGGTCTTGCAGCACATTGGACCAAAGCCAATACATTACATCTTATCGACTTGTATAACAAGTATATCGATAAAGTTAACAGTGGGAAAATGCGTAAAGTGATTCTATGGAAGAAAATAGCCACTGACATTGGTAATTTTACTGGAGAGTAAGTTAGAGGACGCTGGAAGACAATAACAAGCGGCTATAAACGGGTTAAAGACCAGAAGAATAAATCTGGAAATGGCCGTGTGACTGATTATGAGTATGAAAAAGAACTGGATGAAACTTTCGGTGAATCAGCAGCTAACATAAATCCAATTACACTGTCAACTATGGATGAAGAAACATCTGCTATTATGGAGGAATCAGATACAGAAGATTCATTTATTTCCATTCCAGAGGCCCCGAACAAAAGACCTGCCGAGAAACATAATTCTGATACAGCACCAAGAAGCGTAATTCGACCTCAGCAGCCGAGGTCATATCATATTTGCAAACCATGGACGAGAAGGATGAAGAAAGACAAGAACGTGAACTTCAAGCCACACAGAAAATGCACACTGAAAAAATGGATTTGTTGAAATCCATTGTCGGAATACTGGCAAAAAAGTGAACATTTTTAGTTTCTAGTCAGTAGTTCAAAGTTTCTGATTGAACACTTAAAAATGCACAAATAGTGTCATCTGTGATTTTTGTTTTATTTTGTTTTATTTGTTTTATTTTGTTTTAAATTTTTTGTTAATACTCATTTTACTTGTTCATATTTTATTTTTTTATAGAGTAATTGAGAACTTACTCTTTGTATTCAAAAGACGCCAATTAAGATAACAATTCCATTGTAATGATTTATTTTCAGTCAAGAAATAAAGTTTACATTTATAAAAATATTCTTTTCAAAGTGTTCACAATCTTTCAATATAAAGGCAGTGCTTTTTGCTATAATTGACACAACTTTAGGCAAGTTATATTTTATTACTCTCCAACAATCTGTCGTCTCAAGATGTCTCTTTTGTTAGCACCCTGAGCATTATTTTCCAAGACACCTGCTGGATTATGTCCCAGGTTATCATTTAAACCATTCTCTTCGATATTTAGACCCTCAAGATCATCATTTGACATGATGCATACATTGTGTAGGACAAAACAGGACACAATAACTTTGATTGTTTTCTTAACTGACCTACAATTCAACAACATTAGTCTTCGAAATCGACCTTTAACTCTCCCAAATGATCTCTCAATGATTGATCTATTACTTGATAAAAGATAATTTAATCTTCTCTGTGCTTGAGTAAGATTACCATCATTTCTATAGGGTATGATCAACCAACTCTTACAAGGATATCCTCCATCCCCAATTAAATGCCTCTCGCCAAAAAGATGATTATTATCCCAGAGATCGCTGTTTCGTACAACACGACTATCATTCACACTGCCCGGCCAGCCCACATACACATGGGTATAGCTCATGTCTTCACGACAAACAGCCTGTATATTCATAGAATAATACCCCTTCCTGTTTATGAAAACCTGTTTATCATTTCTTGGGGGGGGGGGGGCTTTTATTTCAACGTGAGTGCCATCGATAAAGCCAATAATTCCAGGAAACCCATTCTTGTTGAAATAATAATTACTTATTACTGCCTTTTCTTGATCATTTGGCCATTTTATATAATGTCTGCGCAAATGAACTCCAAATGCATCAATGACATTGCCTATACATTTAATAACAGTCGACTCGGTTATGTTAAAACGATCTGATATCTGCTTTGATGTGTCCTGGGAACCGAGGTACCAGAGAGTTACAAGAACTTTTTTCTCAACTGGGACAGGTGGTTTTCCATGCGGAACTTCTGGCTCTTTTAAAGATGGGCACGTAACTACTTGTCTGCATAATATCTCGTAAGTGGATGGTGCCATTCTAAAAAGTTTCTTAAAATCATCCACCAAGTAATTGTCCACTATATCTGCGACATAGTTGCCAATCTTAATTCTGTCTGATCGCATTCTGAAATTATAAAATGGAAAACTAGAAAATCCGACCTGGCAGGCCCCCTTTTGCTCGGGTTTACAATTTTATAATCTCGCAAGAATATCCAATATGACTGGCGAAGGCTCATTCAATTGACCAGTTGTAGTCTGGAATACGTAACGATCGAGGGATAGAACCTAGTTTTCTAAAAACAGTTGTCTGTCTCAAAATCAGGCATAAACTAAATTTGATTTTGAATTTATTTTTTTATCTATCTTCAAAATACAGCCCATAACCGGAGATCCAGATATTTATTATACCCCCAAATGATTAATTTAACCGACTTACAATGTTGACAATAAAGCAATACGTCGTCTTCTTTTGACGTGCTCTCGCTGGCAATTTGATGGATCCAGGAGGTTCTCTAGAATCAAAACTAGAGTTACAGTCGCCATTTTGGTTCTCCACCTGTACTCGATTACACCGTAAACGCGGACAATCCGGATTGGAGAACGTGGAGAGTCCGGACTGCATAATCGAATTGGCCCATGGACTCATAATTGGATTATGATGATGTGACGATATCAGCGGTAAACGTATCTTATTTTAGACCCTGAGTATTGGTCGCAATTACTTTGTTCTAACAGTCACATACGTTTATTATTTATGACGTCTACATAATTTCTGATGTGACGGTTGATTCACAGATGTGGTAGAAATCTAAGTATCTAAGTAATACCTATCCGGTTGTGATTAGTATTTGAGCATTTAAAATGAAGGTTACATAAGCTTCAAGTATTTGAGTACTTAAAAAGAACAGATATGATGTAAACTTTATATGTATCCAGTTTGAACAGTTACTTTTAATAAATTTGTCAGCAGTAATAAAACTCGACTTATCAACTTATTTATCCTGTGAACCTGATATGTAAATTCTAACCGCCTAGACCTCCCTCCTCCATTCCGATTTTGTGCCATAAAAGAGGTGTCGGCAGCTATAAAGTCTAAAGCTATTTTGAATTTGAAGACGTTTGCAAAAAAATAATAAAGTTGAAAATGATATGACAGCACAAGAAAGATCAAATAACAGTGGTGAGAATACAGTAGATAAATGTTTACAGAATATGATAAAATCAGATACCGGTAATGAAACTTCATGTAGGAGAGCGTGGGAGAAATGGGGTTTAACGTCCACTCGACACAAGGTAGGTGAATTCGAGACTAACACATGGTTCAATTTTATTTCAATAATTCCCTTGCGCGTAGGGGTCTTTAGCAGTGGGAGGAAACCGGAGGACCCAGAGAAAACCCACGAGGTTGGACAGGCGACGTACAACCGGGGAATCGAAACCCCGCCAGTTGACTCAATGACAGACCGTATTATATAGCGCGCGCGTGCTAACCATTCGGCCATTCAATCTCCCCTTCATGTAGGAAGGAAATATCTAAGTCCAAGGAAAATAATTATAAATATGTTTTTGGTAGTTTTTATCAGGTAAGATTTGGTATATTTAGTGGCACACAATGTCCTGGAAATTCTTTAGTTGCTGTTTTATTTTCTGCAATTAGACCTGTTCATATATGGAATACAAATGACTTGGATAAGATTTTAATAGCTGGTAATGAATTATACAGTTTTTTGCAATCTTCTTCATCAATGGATAACCGGTATATTTTGATATCTGAATTGCCAAGAAACCTTATTGTTTTTTTAAAAACTCTTTAATATAGATATTCAGCTGGATTCTGTAGTAGGACTGATGCGAACTGGAGACTGTATTTTTGAAAACAATGAAATGTCTATGACATTGTATGAAGCTCTGCAGACATGTCTTTTACAATATGAGACATGCTTTATAACTTTTGGCGGCAATACATTTGTAATCATAAAAAGAAATGAAATGTATTATATATTTGATAGCCATTCCAGAAATTCAGTGGGTCTATTAACTCCAGATGGATCATCAGTACTGATTGAATTGAAAGATATTGTAGATGTTTATACACACTGCTGTAATTTAGCTGAATCAATGGAAATCGGTATGAATACACAGTTTGAAGTAACAGGTATATATATCATTAATGATGCATTAATACATAGACATGATGAAGTATTAATTGATGACAATAGTAGTGAAATTTTCAGTGAAAAACCCATAAATGAAATATATGATGATGTATTTATATCTCATATTGAAACAAGCAATTTTTTCTTTTACATACTGAGCGCCATGGAAAACGCATCACTTAGTTTTTCGTACAACAAAATGATCCTGTAAACATATCTTATTTATTTTGCTTCTTATTGTGAACAATATTCAAATGGGAACACATCAATAACAACTCATTTGTACACTTATGGATGTTTAATCTGTAATCAACGGTACAAAGTCAGAGAGGTCAAAACCAAAAGTACGACACAGATGTCAGTAGCGCGTGTGTCCTCCACGGGCTCTTACGCACGCTGTGCAGCGACGTGGCATGGAATTAACCAATGTTTGAAAGAAGGCCTGGGGCAAATTGTTCCATTCTTGGACAAGAGCAGCTTCTAAAGCAGCAATGGTGTGCATCTGTGGTCTCCGATACAGACGGCGTCCAATCTCATCTCAGACATGTTCTATCGGTGCCATGTCCGGAGACATGGCTGGCCAGTCCAAGACATTGATGTTGTTAGCAGCCAGGTAGTCCATACTAAAACGGGCGGTATGCGGACATGCATTATCCTGTTGGAAGTGCTGAAGTTGTGGGTGCGCTCGAAACATCGGAACAACAATTGGTTACAAGACATCATCACGGTAGGCTACAGCATTAACGCGACCCCTGAAAATGTGTAGGGCGGTCCGGTAATGAAATGTGAAGCATCCCCACACCATTACACTTCCCCCACCCTATCGATTCGTTTCGAAGACGCAGCAGTCTGCAAGACGTTCCCCAAGACGTCTCCACACACGTTAACGGCCATCAGCGTGATAAAGATGAAAGCGACTCTCATCACTGAAGAGCACACTTTGCCAGTCTACTCTTCTCCCTGGCTGGTGTCCTTGGGCCCATATCAAACGCCGCTGACGGTGATGATCCCTGGGGATAGCTCCAGCATAAGGTCGTCGTGCAGGGAGTCCTACTTCTCTTAGACGACGTCTTACGGTGTTGGCACTTACTGGTCCTTGTCTTCCGACGACTGCTGCACCTGTTCGAGTCGCTGGGCGGAATCTGTCACGCAGATGAGTGACCCGAGTGTAGCGGTCTTGAGCCTGGGTTGTAACGCGTTGTGGACCAGGACGTTGACGGTCACGTGTTGATCCAGTAACTCGAACACGTTCCACCAACCTTAAAATAGTGAACTGATGACAATTGAAGTGTCTAGCAATAGCACGTGTAGACATGCCAGCCCGGGACATTCCCATGGCTTCATTCCGTTGATTTTCAGTTAGTCTCAGCATCTCTAGCTTAATTCCTTCACACGTCCAACAACAAATTACGACAGATTGACGTTTAACAGTTCATGTACTGCACATTAAGTTGAAAACATGCTTTTAAAGGGCTCACACACAATGCTGCACGTGAATATTGGGTTTTTCATGTGCATCTCGTGCAATTTTTTTTTTTTGCACACGGGCCGATATTTTTTGCGTTTGGGAGCATTGTGTGAAACAATAGTTCATAGTATTGCATAATATTATACATACAAAACCATCTAGTAAGAAAATATTGGGGAAAAAAAGTGATGCGTTTTCCATGGCGCTCAGTATACATTGACTTTAGATGAGCAAATCAGAATATATACACAACTTAATATAGTAAATAGAGTTGACGATAATTCTAGTAATGTGAATAGATGTCCAATCAATCGACCAT